CTCGATTTTAGGGCATCGTTTAGTCTTTAGTCATTATTGAGTTTTGTTTTTCTATTTTTTTTTCTTGTTGTTTTATAATTGTAAAATTATCTCACTCGGTCAACCTCTCCAGCCTAGTATTGTCATGGATCAGCGCGTTCACTACGCATAAATCGAGACGCTTTCCGCGGTAAGGTGTAAACATGAGCTAGGATGAGAGGAACATCACAAGAAGAGCCAGAAAGCCAACATAACTGGTGAAGCTTTTAGCTGAACGACTTAATTAAGGTTAAACAGAATGAGCAACCTCTTTACGGACTCTGCGACCGCGGGCGATTAACACAAGGGAGAAGAGGGAGAGAATGAGCAGCCCCTAATGTTGCCCGATCACTGCCAAACAGACTCGAACAAAATACTGAAGTTATGGAAAGAGTAAAATTAGAGCCAAATTACAACAGATGTACCTAATTTGGCATAAAGATAAAGCATACAGAAAAACAGGTGTTGAAATACCTTGAAATCGAAAATAATATGCACTAATTAGCAGACGACTTACCGGGGTTCAACATCATCGACATCGTAAGATTCTCGGAAAATCGGTGAGTCTTCAATGGGGCCAGCACAATAAGAACCAGCATATTCCTCATCCGATGCACAAGCTGCGCCAGTGCTCTCCGGACTTTGTATTCGTTTAACCTAAAACATGCACTTAAGAAAAGAGAAGTTAAGACATTTTGCTAAGCTCACAAGAGATGCTGAATTTAATTTAAAGCAAACAATTAAACAAGCTATGGCAACTATGACACTTGAAGCTAAGTTGATTTAGGCATTGCCCCATGGGTAAAACGGCCCGGTAATCGAGCGTTCATCTCGCCTACGACGAAAAGCTACCAGTGACTACATTTTTGTGATAATTTGCGCATTGCGATCTGCAGCAAAACAAACAAAAAATCAAAAACGCAATATTTGCAGAGTATTAATAAAGAACTTCCAACTAGGATCAACGATAAAAAGTCAAACTTTCATAAGTGAATATATACCTCCTCATATGACTGATTCTTAATTGAACTTCTGTAGTCAGAATCAAGAAGAGTGAGCGGCTCATGCCTTGTGAACGCGAGACACTTTTCCACAGGAAGCATCTGAAAAAGAGAAACGCTGTGAAAAAATTAGATCCCTATCATAACTATTATCTTAGAGCTTATCAAAATGTTGTATGGTTCAGTACAAAAATAAATGGTGAATGAGCCTGCGGCCAAGATTAATAATGACCCAATCGCATAAAAATTTCGCTCACCTCTCTGAATCTCTTCTCCTCTAACCGTTGCTTCTCTTTCTCTTCCCTTTCTTTTCGTTCCTGTTCGGCTTGTGATTTCTGTTTCGCCAAGCATATGCTACAGTTGACATCGTAGAAGTGGCTCAAATGTTGCTCAGTGGTATCTTTTGCGCCATCACCAAGCAGAGAATCCAGTGTAGACATACTCGCTGAGGCAGTCTGAAACGCATTCATTTTAGGTGCGTCACTAAAACACAGAAATAAAAGCCGAAATTCAACTGAGCACTCACAGTAGTTTTCGAGGGCTCGGATTTCCGCGAGGGGCGTTTCGCTGGCTTCACTTCTGGTCTCTTTGATGACTTGGGAGCAGCAGAATCTTTCCTTGACGCACTTCGAGTGGCGATAGTCGCCTCAGAAACAGACGCAGTCGCGCCAGTGCTGCTCTCGTCATCGTTTTTCTTCAGGCTCTCGATTGGTTCCCCTGCCTCACCGGATTTTCCAGCATCATTTGGCTCAGCTGCCGACGACGTGTCAACGTCACCACCTTCTACCAGTTTCACGTCTTCGTCGTCCGCACCTGGAACAAATCGCACCAAATCATTGCTTGTCGCTATGCCATGATACGCTGTGACAGGAAATACTCATAGTAAAAAATATTCGTAATTCTCTTTACATAAGCCTTAAAGAACAGTTACTAGCGATAAATCCGGGCCGCAAGTTTTTTGCTTAATGATCAGTTTAAAGGCAACTAAAAGATATTGAAGTTACTGCAGTTAGAACAATTACAATTTGACCAATGTTTAAATGCATTTTTTTCGAGAATATCGAAAAAAACCTAGTTTTTTAAGACTATGATCGCCCAGCACAAGGTGCGTGGATGGCGTAAGGGTGAAATCAGCTGTGTAAGGTGCTTTTACTGCCGATGACTGCTGCACAAAGCCAGCAAGGCTGGCTTGTCCGCGAAACTCATCCGGACACGACTTCCTCTATTTTCGGCCTTGACGGCTATTTCTTTCCGTTCTTCTTCACTGGTCTTCCTTTTCGTAATTCTGCACTCGCTTTAAAGCGTAAAATACCCAACTCGATTACGACCCGTGCCTTAAAAAAATCTACCGCACAGCAGCTCTAGGGCTTGAGAAAGTCACCGAAGTAAACATGCCTTCATAATCGAATTCTCTTCACAAAAGCTGAACTTACCATCGAGTGGAGCTGAATACTCCGGCTTCCGCATATCCGCACCTTCCAATGTGACAAGCTTCTGCACAGATATCGTTCCCGTAAGAACTCGGTAGTAGAAGCTCTGAGAAACAAAGTTTACGCGAACAATATCTACTCAAGTAGAATATAAACGACAGAAAGCCTAGTGCGCCATGTAAAGAAAGAATGGTAGTGCACCTTGTTTCGGCAGTCTGCCACATTCTCTATGAAAGTCTTCGTCCATGCTTTGTAACGAGGTGAATTCAAGTTGGATTGGCACGACTTGAACAGAGCTGCTTCAATGTTCTCCGCTGCATCTTTGCACAATTTGATAGCCGACTTTACTTTATCCATTTTAGCCCTGAAACGTAAAATCTTAAAAAGCAAAAATGTAGAAATCAAGACTATGCATCTAACACATTGGTGCCAGCGTACCAGACATATGCCCAAGCTCCCCCCTTTCCAACTTTTTAGGAAAAGGACAGGATTCGAAATCTAACCTCGAGAGAAATACACACTGAAACTTATAAGTCACAGTTCATGAGAAAAGTTCATCATTTAGGAAATTGTTACAAATAGAAAACTGGGCAAATTAGGCGTCACAGACCCTTACATCCATTTTGAGCCGGGACCAGGATATGCAGGCGAAAGCACTCTATCAGCACTTTCGACATAAAAAAATATCAAGTAGTTTCCGGACCTTTCCCCTCACAGAATAATCAGTCGTTATACAGAAGGTAAGTCTGCCTCTGATATGGAGGAAACCTATGAGAATCGGAAATTGCTTTGCAAATTAAGGTCACTTCACACATTCCCAACGCAAAAATCATCCAAATAAAATATCGCATGGAAAGGCACTAAAAATGCGATATGTATGGACACTGCAAGAGGTGAGGTTCCACACAAGGGGAACTTCAAATTATGCGCGGTTGGAAAGTTGAGGAAAAAATCACTCAAAAATGAAAAAAATAGAAAAGAAAAATTATGTATGAATCTGATAAATAATCGAAACTAAAAGATGTAAATTGTTAATAAGAAGCAAAACTTGAAAAATAGTGAATAACGACTAGCCTTTTCGTTAGTGCGTCAGAAAACGCCCTCTTGACATTGAAGCGGATTCGATCGGAATCTTTAGACAACAGTTTAGGGGCTGCTTTCTTCGGATCAGCGCCTTGCTCTGAAAGCGTTTACCCCTTAAAGATGGAGAAGAGTCTGCTTTTGCGATACCTTTTACTGCACGCTGTTACTTATCGTGATGTAGAGAGTGTACCTTATAAGAACCAAGAAAGAGAAATACCACAAGAAACAAAAAGATCGAACCATTTTTCATTGGCTGCTTCTTCTTTGCCACGGGTAGGACAGGCTCGTATTCGGGATACTTGTAAATAAACTCTGCAAGGTTGACTAAGGTTGGTCCAGTCGTTAGTAGTTGACCATCACCGCGTAGCAAAGTTAGAGCCCCATAGCCCTCTGGTAAGACCTGAAAGTTGATATATAACCCCGATGCTTCGCAGCTGTTAAGTAGTGAAATGCAGGCACTTCAGAGGAAAAACCAAGAGATAACCGTGACCACCTCATGAGCTCTAGCCACTCTCCGCTCGATGCAGTCGCGAGAGCACCATACGGACGACGGTCCAAGTGTATCTTTCCATTCCAGAACGCAATCATCCAACCACCTTCCGCATTCAACGCATGGTCTGGATAACGATTGCAATTATAGCAAACACTTTATAAAACAAATCTAACGATGATATGCTAGAAGAAAAATAGATGGAAGTTGGAATCAATCGTGTTAGCTCTATATCTAGCGAGCTGCAACCTTCGTAAACTGCCTAAAGTTGGCGAAAACTGCTACTGTCATATACTCAACATGTGACCAAAAAAACTGAGACAGAGCATACTGAGATAAAAAATACTGTCACTATCTCATGACCTACGGAATAATTTCCTCGAAGACGCAGAATAGATGCAAATTATAAGATATGTATAAACTTCTACAATCTATGCCAGGTAAACCCAAAAACATATTTGCGGAAGAGACTGGAATTGTACTCCGCTTTTTAAATGATAATGAAATGATAGGATCATAATGCATTCACTAAATCTTCACCATCATGATAATCGTCGTTATTGCCAGGAGATAAGATTCAAGTGCTTATATACGGCGGCAATACGCATACAAACAATACTATAAGAAGCAAAGTAAACAAAATATGTTTCGTTAAAATAGTACCTCTCGCTATGCGGCTTCTTCTTCGCTGTGCTCTTCGCCTGTACATTGCGCTCATTTTCCGAATCTGACCTGAAAAATACAAGTATGGTCGCACATTAAAGGAAAGGATAGACTCCCACTGTGTTGCTCTGAATTCTCTGCTAGAACCTTAGCAAGCAAGCTTGTGTCTTACTGGGTGAGTGCCACTGTCGAAAAAAAGAGCCAATGTTTGTGACGTAAAACACCAAAAAAAAAGAATAAAAGTGGATCTAAAGATTCAATTAATACTTCGCATCTTCGCAAATTTATTTAAAGGAGTCAACATAAATGTTTTGATGAGTAGCAATAGCTATAATGATCAACAAAACCAATAAAAAAAGAATGATTTGGGACTGGGGTTAACCATACGATTGAGCAGCTGAGTCAACAGAAAAGGTGCAAAATGCGCTGTCCCTAATCTTCTGTTACACACTGGGAATCGCTAGCGGCTAGTCGATAGGCCCACAAAAGATGTTGAATGTAGATTGGCAAAGGCTATTTCTGAAGGAAAAGCACTTTCCAACGCGAAGGCGGCCGGGAAAAAAATCAACTCCAACCAGATATTTGCTTCGCGACCTCCTCATTATGAGCAAGATCCATAATGAACAATTTTCGAATGAAGGCTGTTTAATTCCTTACGAGTTCTTGTTCTTCTCTCCTCCAGCAGATGAGGCGCATGAGCATGATGAAGACGACGAAACTGAACGCTTCCGTTTCCTGCTCTTATGCTCTTCAGTGTCCATGTTCACCTTTTCTTTCTCCTTCGTTAACTCTGCTTGATTTTCTTCTTTCATAGGTTCGTCATGGCTTTCCTTTGGGGACTCTTCAACTGCTTAATAAAATAAAGTAATAAAGAGAAACAAAAACTGTAGAAAAGTGGCCACTATACCTTGAGAACTCGTAGATGGTCGTAGTTCATGATGAGGGAAATCTGATATGTCAATGGTAAACTCTTTCAGGTTGAAATATTTGAAAATCTCTTCCTCCGACCATCCTTTGATATTTACAGACGATGATCTTTTCTGAAAAAACTTAGAGTATAAAGGTGAATGGGTACATTACACGACACTTCGTAAATTAGCTTCCAATAAGACCAGCAATCAGCTGGAGGATTTCGAACAAATAGAAAAAGATCTGACATTGCTATTTAAGTTACGGCGAATATATTAGCATGGCGCTGCTCAGAAGCCTCACGGCGATCTTGATAAGCAATGAGCTATTTTGTACAAAAAATTTCGAAATCTCACTCAATCACTTTTCCAAAATACTTCAACCGAGCAATTCTCTTGAAATGCCTACATAAAATTGAAAACGAAACACAATCAAGCGTAGCCTAACCTAAACAGGAGCGTAACTCTACCGCGATAAGTTGGAGGTCTAGACAGAGTCCAGGTAAGATCCTAAGTGGATCCTACCTGGGTTAAACTCTGTCTAGACCTCAAATTTGGATCTCCTAAGTGGATCTTACCTGATACCTAGCATTTCTTCAAGAAGAAATAACTATTATTTTACAACTTTTATCACGATTTGTCTTTAGATAGATTGCACAGTAGAAACAAGTCACAGAACCTTACGACTTTTCGAGGTCTCCTTCTCGGTTATTTGAACACTGGACGATCGCTCTGAAAAAAAAACTCGTCATGAACAGGAAAGGCGCACTAACATAATCAGTAACAGTGTTGAAGAAAAAAAAACGTTGACGGTGAATAGAGAAACACAATGGTAACGCTCGTAAGAAAAGGTTAAATTGGAACATTGGAGCAAATGTTTAGTTGGGAAACAGATATCAATGTTGGAATAAACAAAAAAATTATGTCACCCTGGGAGATGGCGAAAGCGCCTCCGCTTCGTATCGTTTAGAACTTTAGATCCTTCCTAAATACAGTATGCCTATCATATGCCTACAAATACGATTCGAACGTTGAGTCTGGTCAGATCTGTTCACTAGTAAAGAAAAAATAAATTGGAATAGGACACTGAATAAAAATTGTGAGACTAAGAAAAGGGATAGATTTCCGTGTCGCAAGTTCCTAGACGGGAGCCAATATGGAACACTAAAAGCCAATATGGGAAAATATTCCGCCTCCGTGCACAAAAAAAATCAACGTTCAAAAAAAAATCAAAAAATCACCGTAGCTGACCATACAGCAAAAAAAACAAAACACGAATGGCCGAGATTTTAGATTCAAGAGTATATGGTGAAGAATCGTTGATTAAGCAAAGAGACCAAACGATTGTTTCATTAGTCTGACAGTTCCGAATATTGGTTGGCGCGTCAGATCTCACACGCGGGTCTATTCCAGTTAGGGGGGCATCATGATGCAGTTTCTCGGCGAGCTAATGTAAACTCGAACATTCCAGCTTCTCACGCATGTCAAGTGACTGCCCTCACCCCCACCCCCTAGGCTGGCTACACTCCCCCTGGCTCAGAGTTACCGTAGCTTTTTGGGAGTCACCGCACCATGATGCCCCCCCTAACTGGAATAGACCCAATGCTTATTATTACCTGCCGGGATTATAAGATAGACAGAGCTACTATAAAACAGGGATCAGTGAAGCAAAAAACGTCGACCCCGTAGCATGTCTTTGATTACATCCTTGATAACGTTGCTAGTTGTAATTACATTATTTTCGGAAAACTCTTTTGTGTTGCGTATGAAGCTTAACCTGACAGTAACTTGGATAAAATTTTCACAGACCACGTCGCGGTGTACCTAGAGCATGCGTCTGCGTAATTTCTCTTGATGTTCAAGTGATCTCGAAAACGCTTTCTGCCTTAGCTAATGATTAGGTCTCGTATAGAGTCTAGAAAGAGTATGCAACAGAAATTACGTGACGCGTGAGCGGTGACGCCAAAAGATTGATTGTCGTGTCTTGAGTTACTTCTGTTAGAGGCGTTCACTCCACAGAGCATACTATTGGAAAGAAAAGGTCTTTCAATAGTATGCTCTATGGAAAAATACCAAGAAGTGCACCCTGCACGAGTGAGGCAAAAGGTAAAAAGTTTCGCAAAACGAAACTGCTCTAAATTGACCCTTTCATTCATCTGGCAAATACGGTTGTTCCGAAGGTTCAATTGCCTTTTATTATACTGATTTCACTCAACACGCTAATTTCGCAAAATTCCCGAAAAAAAAAAACGATAGCCCTATGAACGAGTCAGCGGCGCTGAGCGCATCCTGCTTCCCAGTATAGATAGCCCATCAACATTTCTTCTGATTGTACTGTGATGGGTCTCCAAGGAAGGACAAGAGAAAACGGCACATAGTCTGCAAAATCAAGAAACATCTGAATATGAACACAAGTTGTTCATACCTCCGCAAGGGAGGTCGTTCAGGGCTGTGCCAAGCTTTTTTCAAAACGGCTTCTCGAATATATAGGGGCTTATGCAGGAACCACAGAACCATGGTTCATTTTTCCTGAACGGCCCTCTGAATACCAGAAAAGGGGTCCCTAGTTCGATTCCTCGTGGTGACAAATTTTTGCGAGTTGACGTTCCAAAATTCGCGCAAAATGGAGTTAGCATGAATAATTAGTACCATATTCATGATTAGGACCGTCAGTAACCCTAAAATAGACTTTGATTAAAAAACTGGTGGAAAAGTGTGACACACAGTGGGGCCGTTTTGGTGTCACACCTTTTTCACCAGTTTTTTAATCAAAGTCTTTTTGTAAGGGTTACTGACGGTCCTAATCATGAATATGGTACTAATTATTCATGCTAACTCCATTTTGCGCGAATTTTGAAACGTCAACTCGAAATGCAAAAATTTGTCACCACGAGGAATCGAACTAGGGACCCCTTTTCTGGTATTCAGAGGGCCGTTCAGGAAAAATTAACCATGGTTCTGTGGTTCCCGCATGTGCCCCTATATCATGCAAAAACCGTTTTGAAAAAGCTTGGCACACCCTGAACGACCTCCCTAGTCAGAATCATTGAGCAATCCTATAGGAAAGGATTGAAAACGGTAGTCAGGGAGCGCTACCATCAAACAGGCACTATCGCGACTTGATACTCCATAATTTGCCCACAGAAGCATATTTTCAGAGGAAACAATATAAAAGAATGATAGAAGCGCTCTAAGCTAGAAAGAAGAAAGTCACAAACAAGAAAAAATTGCTACAACCATGAAAAACTTTTAAGACTTCGAAGCTGAGTTTTCAAATAATCCTGTTTTGATGGCACTCTGAAAAATTATGCAAAGACACTCTACCTTTTTGTCCGGAGACTTTGTCTTTTCCCTTTCTTTTGCGGCTTTCTTCGCTGACTTGGGCGGCTCTCGGCTACTTTTCCGTGAGCTTTCCTTGGACTGTGATTTCTCCTCACGTTCTCTACCTCTTTTCTTGGCGGAACTTTGTTTTACAGCTGCGATCGGAGGTTCTTCCACAGATGAAGACTTTTTTCCTTTTTTAGGCGCACTTTTAGCCTCTTCACGCTTCTTCATTGCCGCGTTGACATCTTTGAACTAAACAGAACACATCAGAGAAAATCGATAAGTGTCTGTCATATCATACTGAAATCATGAAAAAGTCTGGTGGAGAGTTCTAAAAATGAGCTGACTATACATTACCGTCTGAGCTGTACTTCCAGCGACTTCCAACAAATCCTGAGGTTCAATTTTGGGAATGATTTCAGGACTAGGATATCGAACTCGGCATGGATATGAGTAATTATACCTCCGTAGAAGCCCTGAGCTCGATGGCTGTAACAAAAGTCATTAGTGAAAAATGACAATAAGTGAATAATACACAGTAAACATAACTAAGCCGGGCATGCGCACAGATCTCAACATTGCTACAAAGACAAAACGTAACTAGAAACACCTGTTGTTGCGCAGAATGGTGCGCTTAGTTTGGAAACTCTACGTGTTTGCCTAATGTTCAACCCCTACTATATATTTGACAAAAAATTGAAGTACAAGCACCCAAAACACACACCTCGTCAGTGGCGGATTCGGTCCTGGCAAAATTTCTCTTTACCCGTTCCAATCGAGTCCGCCATGACTTGCTAGAATGAGAATGATAAGCTGTGAAAGCTTTCACAAACAATATTGAACATTCGATCATGAATGAAATTAAAATCGATGCGAGTACCAAATTTGGAACTACTGCAACCCCAGTGATGGTGAAATGGTCAAAAAAATTCACTGAACCTTCCTTGAGGCTCCTGATTACGAAATGACATCTGTTTTTAGCGCTGACGCCATTCGGAGCCTATATTCTGCTCTCGTGAATACCCTCTCACGATACGTCCGCGATCAGGGCTCGCGAGCTCGAAAATGAGAAAGCCACTCCCCTGCGATCTCACACTTCAACTTTTGCCACACAGTGCGTGGTTTCCTCACCAGGAAAGGTCATTAGGCCGGTCCGGCCACTTGTAATGGGCTCTATACCTCTAAACTCGCCTCGAGATGCTGAGCCCAAATCTGTCTTCTCGATCTGCACAACGATTTTTTGAACGGAGTTATGGAGCAAGGAAGCGCTGCGGTAGGCCCTTTACCACAGGCAGAGGTTGTGGGAACTGCTCGCGAACTAATCATACGGGCAATAATGGAAAGTTTTGATAAATTAACAGATTTAGAAGCTTTTCTGCCACATCGACATTGAAAAACAAAAAAGCAGGCTCCTCGAAAAACGGTTCCCACCATCACTTGCCTGCGAGACCGAGGCACTACCGCTGCGCTTTCTTGCTTTATAACTTCGTATAAAAACCGTTTAGCAGATAGTGAAGGCAATTTTGAGCTTTTAGAGTATCGAGGAGAGTGCAACGATGCAGCTCACTGCTAATGGCAGGACCGATCTGATGACCTTCCCTGGTCAGCACGGAATCCTCCTCCACCAAGCCTAGCCTTCAGCCGATCAAAGCGATCGCACAGCATCGGAAGCGTATCGACCGTTAAATAGGTACGTCTAACGCTGTGCGATCTTTACGATGCGTACTCAGGCATTACAAGTAAGAGCCCAAAACAGCAGAAAATATACGATGAAAAGCAACAATGCTAAAAAGCCACGTCGTATCTGTGATCAGGACACCAAATAACCCCTGTAGAGAAGTTTATCCAGAACTTTGTGAAAACAGCTGGCGTGACAAAGTGGCATTAATTGGTGCCAGCGCCAAAAATGGTGTCACACTCGTAGGAGCTTCGTTAACCAATAGCCTTCGGAAGTTCAGAGAAGTTATTATTTGACCTATCTCACCCTCATTGGGGTTGTAAATAGGGCAATAGTGACCCTAGTTCGCTACGTAGACCTCGTACCTGCTAAATGGTGTCCAAGTGATAGGTGCTGACTCTTTGTATCTGATAACATATCCGTCTGCAACACAAGAACTACACAGATGAGCAACAAGGGTTTTGAACCAAAAAAAACAAGGTAAATCCACACCTATTTCAACTTTTTCTATTGAAGTTGTACCCGATCCACTGGCTGTGGAGATATCCTTAAACAATAGTAATCGTTATTTCAACAATATAGAAATACCTAGAGAAGATATTATGTATGATTAGATCTTCGTAAGCACTCGATTACTAACCGTCTTTTCAATATGTCCCTCATTTGGAAGCTCCCCTACTTCCTCCATGGAGGAGCAATGTATGGATGAAAACTGAAACTTCACTCAATAAGCAGCACAATGAAAACATGTTCAACGAATAAAACATGTATATCAAGCAAAATAGCAACACTTCTAAGCAAATTGTGCTCATCGAGCTTCTTGTCGATTATTTTAACATTAAAGGGCGGGTTGACGGCAGCGAAGCGCAATGGAGCGCGCTAATTGTCTAACACTAGCATTCTGCAGTACTTGTTCTGTGCGCTCTTGCTTGCTTATCGGGGCGTTTGATAGGGAGCTACTGGTTCGTATTTCTTAACAGAGCAAAAGTCGGACTCGTACTGTGTCGATCTCGTGACTTTTGATTCATACATATCGTATGGTGCGATATCATATCGAAAGCACGCCGACGTGACCAGTGCGACCCTCCTCTTTTGCACAGTGTTATGAGCGTAAGAGATGAAGGCAGATCGGTGAGATAGAAGGTCAGATGTTCAATTGGCACCATGGGAGACAAAATAGCAATGATCATTAGCTAAGCTCACGACGAAAGCTTCGTAATCCTAGATTTGGTGCTTTAACAGAGCTACAAGGCAATTGGCGAGCTAAAGCGGTGGTCTTTTCCCTTTCTGATGCTGCCTAGCAACTACTCCACGCTTCATCTTCCGCGTTCTGTGGATAATGTGCCCCCTCAATTCGGTCGCAGTTTAGGATGAGCCACGTACCAAGATAATTCTAACTATAACTCGAGTTCTAATTTGAATGCAAATCGTAATTCCACTCCAGTACTACACTTCCATTCGATCTGGGTCCCACTGATCCCAAGGTCTGGCTCTATCTTACTTCGAACTATGAACGGCTATCCCCTTGAATGTTATTATGCGAGGGTGTACACGACGGCCAAAACAGCAGAAAGGACCCATCTCGCCTTCAATACGGTTCCTCTACAAGGAATCGTACACGAAAAAATCGGAAAACCAGGAGGACTAAAACGCATTCAAATCCGTGCATGTCACGAATGTGGCGGCGAAGGCGCTTCTTGGAGTGCCGTCACTGAAAACTCTTTCGGGACTTTTCACCTCTACCACATTTCACCCTTACTACCGCACCCTATTTTATCGATCGTTTTGTCTCTATTCTCCAAAATAGAACGCTTTGGCTCGCTTCTTTCAATGCGTCTCTTCTTACGGGCCGCCCGAGGCGCACTCCTTTCCATGCGTTCCCTTGTTCTACCGCCCGGCCTACACACGGCCGTCCCTGGAATGTGGTTTTCGTTGTTTGTTCTCTTCGAAAACTGAACCTTCTTGGCGTGAAATTCGTACATGTCTGTTTCACAAGAATGCTGGGTTGTGAACAAAACTTTCGCCCCAGGCGGGACTAGAACCCGCACCTCTCGCTTTCCGGGCAAGTGCGCTACCAGTTACGCTACCGGGGCACCATTTCATTCCAACTCAGCTTTTCATGGTATACGTACCATAGCTTTCAGCACTCACACGTATAACGTGTTGAGCCGGTTAGCCGATATCGGCAATGACCGCGAGGCTGAAAGCTTTAGCAATGATTTTTTGACTTGTTTTGTTTGTTCTAGGTGCGGGTTCTAGTCCCGGCTGGGGCGAAAGTTTTGTTCACAACCCAGGATTCTTGTGAAACAAACAAAAACTGTCTCTAGTAATTGCAGCTGACTTGCTTACTCATGCTGATTTTTAAGCATTTGGACGATTCCTTCAACACATTGACGATCGCAGCGACGCATTGATTCTGCTCGTTGCTTTGTCACGCATTCGATTGCTCCGTTGGATTGTAAGATATGTTTCTATAATTGAAAATTTGCCTGAGATTTGCTCAGGCTCTGGGATTTTCGGCGAAATAATTCTTCATTCTTTTCACTATCTCCCACTCAGCAGAAATACACTAATTCAGTGAAGAATGCTTGTCTTCGAAACATATCAAAACTTGAACTAATTTGATGATGGCCGAAAAAGTACTTGGCCAAAAACTTTTGAGCGTGCTGTGCAGGGAAACGGGACAAAGGCACTCTGCCCATGGCGCACATGACCGAGCTTTTCGTCGCACAGGGTGCTGCTGTAATGGAACTTTATGGCAGAGTCTTCCTTAAGTCTCCCCATAAGCAAAAACAGGTCCTCCTTCACCATCGTACAATAAATACACCTTTATGTCATCGCCCGTTGACTTCAGTAGGCCTAGCTGTAATCGTTCCTGCCTATGTAATTATCATTAGTAAATAATCAAGCTTGAGGAGGGTAGCGTTTCTCTTTTTCCAGGCATTCATAAATCATCTAATGAATCGATGAAGTGGAAAAGTTATCTAGTCGAAAATTTCTGTTTACTTGTATATTTACGGTCCGAAAAAGCACGTCAGTAACCTGAACCACTCTATTTGTATCACTTTCTCTTCCGAAGCGGCTCCTGACGTGTAATGGAAATTTATGAACGGTGTTTCTAGGGGAGTGGGAGCAACAACAACTGCAGGAGGAAGCGCTCTTCGCGTACGAGCGAGGACAAATCGCGTCTGACGTACATCATGGACATGTTGCGAAGCCCTATTTGAGCAGATATGAAATAATCGGCGTATCCCAATAGGCTGATTCATCAGCGCTGAAAGGCGTCGAAACTATCCGCTTAGTACATACAACAACCTTCAGCGTTCAACATTCGCAGAACATTGGCTCGGACCTGACTCACGTCAGTATATTACATTCTATGGGATTTATCTATCTACTAGCGAACGAATATGAAAATTCGACCGCTGTTCAGGCTCTATAAAACGGCAACCGCGGCCGATGACGTGGCCCAGCGGCCATGAATGCCATTCTGACGGGCAAAACGAGTAAGGGCTTTCGGCCGCCTCTGTGGATGCTGCAAATGGTTTACGATTAGAATGGTAGCGGGTTATCAAAAGGCTACTCATCAGAAAACAGTGTATTTAAGCGTTTGAACAATTGGAGAAAGGACGAGTGTGCATTCTCGACTTGCCAAACAAAGGCCGAAAACTTTGACAAAAGAGAAGTGCAAGAATTAAGACTCGTAGCTGGAGCACAAAAGACCCCATCATTGGTGGCGCCATGAACTCCGTTACTTTTTCAATCAATAACGATGAAGCGTTTGGAAATCAGTCTACAGGGTGAGCCAAAATTACGAGGACAGCGTGTGCGGTTGGTGCGATCGTGTCCACTTTTTTCTGGCAATAAGTTGATCCATTTCCATCTCCGGTTCTGTCACGCAGACGGGGTACAATATCTTCTTCTGGTCGAAACCAAGTATCACGCAGTTCTCAAAGCTATTTAGAATAACTATATCACCACAGTCCTCAAATTGAACTCATTAGGGATTGTGGCACACCACATCTAGCGGCAGTTGAACGTAGCAGGAAGCTCTTATGGCCAACTCTTCCATAAGTAACAAATGAGAAATGCGAGCATTCAAAGGTTGCTGTTATCACAGGACAATTATCAAATGCACGAAGTCGACCCAAAAGACGAAAAACATTGATGTACAAACCAAATCACACGGCAAGAATTCACTTCAATACTGAATGGGAAGCCGCTCAAGTATTCTACTTGGGACATGTGACAGGAAAAAGCGCTTCGAAACCGCGCTTCCACATGAAAAAACATCGCAACACATCGACCAGATGGTGCAGCTGTGGGGCTCTCGAATGTTGTGGGGTGCCAGCACGGCGGATGATGTGGAACCTCAGGCTGAGAAGTTAAATAAACCGATGACGTAACTCCCCCATCCATTTCCTTAGTGGAAATATAGGGAATTCAACTTTGATTAAAATTGGTTTATTGTAATTCAGTGAAGCATATACATACCTTAAGTTAGCAGTACTAAATTATGACTGTACAATTGTGTGGGCGTCAAACGAAAGAGTAGTTTGTATTGACCGTTCCGCACGCTGCCTTAAAGGAGGATTGCCTTCGACTATCACGAATGGAGGTCGAGGAAGAAGTAATTCACCTAGTTGAGTAACCCACGGACCTCCTGAGGGTGCGAACTGATGCGCAATTCGCATCGAAAAATTTGACCTCGGCGACCTATTATGCCTCAAAGTTGGCGGGTCTGGCGATCTCCGCCCACCGACCAGCTGATCACTCGCCGCAGATCTATACGTGGGATTGATTAGATAGCAGAGAGAGCGTGATGTTGAGGAGGGCACAGCGATAAGAGTCGCATCAATGCGCAAATCAGCGGGGAAGGAAGGGGTCCCATTTCTCGGGTTCTGGGCCGTTTCTCATGGTTCTTCCTTCTTTCGTGTACCAATCACCATCCCTGAGTTAATTTGAAATGGGTTGCCTTCCCAGCGTGAATTCGTCCTTTAAGCGGATAGGTGGAAAACTACAAATAGGATTCCGTAGCATATTCAAGCCTTATTTCTGTTAATAACGCTCCCAAAAATCCACTGACGGATTTCAAACATAATATCTGCGTCCTCCCCCCCTGAATCTCAGTGAATTACTTGACCATTGGGTTATCTTCTTGCCTCCATCAGCTGTCTTTCTTTGCAGCATTCTCTGTCTGGGCTCAAGCTATACCTCACCTGCGGAAAATAAGCTATGAAGTCCGCTCACTAGAGACCCATCCTAGAGACCCAATGCCACTCTCTTATCCAAGAATCTCCGCCCTCGCTCCTGTGATCTATTTTCGTCTAGGAAACCGTAGAGGATACAATAGTGGGGAATGATGAGCTGTGAAGGGACATTTCGAGAAAGGTTTCTCTTATTATTTAGGGCAACGAGAACTCTGGGAGCATGGCTGTGAAACTGCGAACAGCACACACCATTTTTCCACGAAATGGCTTCCCATAAATTTCGAATCAAGATGTCAGAAATGTCTCGTTTGTATCACAACTTTCTCACACAGGCTTTTTTCCCATGATTCGACGCCGTTGCGGCAGATAACGCGAAAGGGCACTCGTTTTTCTTTGATGTGATTCTGGAATGTTGTCGATAGTTGTCAGCCGCCTCCATTATAATTCAAGGGAACGATTTGAGCCAAATCAATTTCAA